TTAAATTAGAAATTACAGGTTTTTTTAAAAGCCAAACCTTAAGCAAAAATTTTGTTTTAATTTATCCTTCTATCTATTATCCAAAATATCAGATTTTATCTCAAGATAAAAATGTTACCTTAAAAAAAACCATTTTGTTTTAAATAAAAATTTATTTATGAAATGTATTTTTTAAATATTGCATTTATATAAAATGTTTTATGAAAAAATAGCATTTTTATAAAAAATATAAAAATAAAAAATATATATATTTATTTTTATTTTATCTTGAAATGAAATTATTTGTTTAAGGTCAAACAATTTTTTTTTAGCATTTTATCTTGAATGAAAAGCATGTACATTTTTCATTTAAGATAAAAAACATCTCCTTTCTCAATTTTTTAATTTTTTTATGATCAACTGGTTCAAACTGCATTTTAAGAAAAAACAAATAAATAAATCTATATTTCTTTTCTTTTATTTAAAAAAGAAATTTATTTAACATATTTTAATGGATTTCTAAAACTACATTTAAAGCTTAAGAGGAAAAATCTTTAGATTTAGATGCCAATTTTTTGTGCCTGGTTAACTGATTAATCGTCAGAATAGTTGATGAAATAATCAATTACTAAAATTACCTTTACTTGCAGCGCTGCTGAATACAGTAAGTATGCGTGTAACTTTTACCTCCAACACATTTGTCAGTCTTAAAACTGAAACCATAACGTTTTTTTTATCCGATTAATCAATTTATCATTCAAGTAATCAATAGAATAATTAATAACTGGAATAATCACGAGTTGTAGCTCCAGTAAAGAGCTAATTCTGCGGTTTTAACGGTCGAGAAAGCCACTACAATTATCACTAATGAGGAGAAAAATGAATATTTGTTGGGAAGAGGGCAGCAGGGTGAAGATAAAATTCAAGGATGGGTGAGTCTGATATCTTTAATATGGTTCTGAGGACGGTCGAGTTTAATTGACTGGAAGATTTGATAAGAAAAAAGCCTCATTTCTGGACTGGTATGTCTCTAATAACTGTTGATATCAACACTTCTGGGCTTTCCAGAAAGAAAGTGAGGGAAAATATCTGATTTAGAGTTCAGAATATTTCTATTTTAAGTCTTCAAAACAGATTATTTAGGATTTTAAATTAATTTTGACGGCAGGAAAGTAATTTAAGTGACTTCTCTGACAGAAACAATTATTTTCAATTCAAATGACAGAAAATATTTTCAAAAAATAATTTTTATCCCTTCTGTGAGTTGGATGACAGAGTTTCAGAACCAATAAAAGAGTCATAATATCAGCAGAATGATAGATGCAATTTTACAGTATTTATTTTTTATAACAAATAATGAGAAAAAAACTGATGACTGCGACTCTTTTGTCAAAATGGAGTCAGTTATTTGCACAATAGTTCCAAAGTTCTGAATTTAATGCGAATGTGTTGTTTGGGTTGTTTTATGACCCACTTGTTAGTACAGAGAAATAAAAATAAAAACAAGGTCCCTGAATTTGGGAGTTAAGAAAGCATGAAAGCTGTCAGTGTTTGCGAGCGCGGATGAAAGCAAAGGAGGCGGTTGGTTGGAAAACATTACGACGAGCCGCTCAGCTGGCAAACATTTGCAGGACGCAGCCAGAGATTTGAGGGATGGCGGCTCTGCGGCCGACAGCAAAGGCCGGCTCCTTTAGACGCGTCCGGATTTATGAGAACGGTGGGAAGAAAACACGAAAACTGGTTACGGAAAAAAAAAAAAAAAGGACTTGAACTGTTATAGATGAGATATAAAAGGAAAGTTTTGGCTCTTGAAAATTACATTTTTTGTACTCCTTGTGTTGTCAGCACAACCAAGGCGGCCATCTTGTTTTAGAGCTTCTGTTTATTTGGACAGTGAGAATTAATTGATTAATTAATCAATTAATATGATGAATCACAATTAATCACAATAAATATGATTAGTCACGATTAATAATCATTATGATTAATCATATTAATAATTAATATGATTAATACAGTTAATCATGATTAATTTTGTTAATCATGTCAACTTTCGTTTCAGATCTTTATGAGCTTAATGTGGTTTCATGGTTAAATCTCTAAAAATATCCCCAAACGACACATGAACTTCTCCAAAACACATCTATTTAAAAATAAAACATTTTGAAAGTTGAACTCCTCTGACTCCCAGCTGTCTTTAACAAAGATGCTCTACAGTGCACCATGATGTATTCACTTATATCTACAAATGGAATAAGAAATCCTTGGCTCGACATTCCAACCATGAAAGTAAAACTACTTCAATCTCACTATTTTTTTACACTTTTAAAAGGGACTTTATTTGGATTTCGATGCTGGAAATAGAGACACGGGCAGCCTAATAAAGAAATAAACAGCCGTAACTACATTCAGATGGCAATGCTGACCTTTGCTGCAGAGTCTCCACGGTGTCTGTGGCTCTCAGGCAGCTGGCACTGTGACTCGAATGTGACATACAAATGCAAAGGCAAAACTGCTTTGCGTTCAGATCGCCCTGCAAAGTTCATGCGTCACCTCTCAGTAGACGCCAAGGCAAATCAAGACCCAAAAAATTAAAACGGACTCAATTCCAGCTGCTTTGTAATGTAAAAAATGAGACCTTTCTCAATATTTCTAAAGTATTTCCACCTTTTAATGTAACAACAATGTAATCCGACTATTAACAATGAAAAGGAGAGCTCAAATAACTAGTGCAAATATAGAAATGCAGAATATTTTTATCTAATTTCAGGATATTTTTGTGTTTCTTTGCCAAAAGAAGGTTTTCTTATGTTGACCTGGATGTACGTTTTTCACTGTTTCTCTGCAGAACTAATAAATCTGGATTTCCCCCAGTGCATTATAAGCCTGGCAGCCACCAGGCTTTACTTTTACTCCCACCAGGCTTAGCATCGCTTATTTGCTTACATTTTTTTAAATGTTTAAATTTTGCTTTTAACATAGAAAAAAGATAAATACCAAGAGAATCGACTTTTTAATGCAACATAACTTAACTTTTTTCATATGTTTGCTTTGCTATGGTATAAGCATAAAGCTAAACACCTTTTTGTACCCTGTTCCTGACTGATACCTTTGAGATAATATTGGTATTTTGTAACTTTTCTTAACTAAAATATTTGAATGAAGAAGCTATTTTTTTAAATTTCTTTTTAGTAATTAAAAATCAGTAAAGATATTAAATTTGAACTTAAGAAGCCTAAACGCTTCATAAAACTATTATTGCAGTCAGGACACTTCATAAACCAGGTTATTTGAAGTTTTTTTGTCAGTTTTTCATGTCCTCTTAGAAGATTTATGAATTTTTCAGTTGGTTGAAAGAGAATGTCTGTCACTTCAAAGGTAGATAAACCTTTTGAAATAATCTATCATGGTTTCATGTCTTACTTCACAAAAACCGGCACCTTATTTTTCTTTTTTCAATATCTGCTACGTTTGTCCAGGGTGACAAAACACCTTCCTCTTTGTAAGATCCCTTTCATTTACCACCAGAGACGTTGACATTATTCTGAAGCTCTCTGACAGTTTTCGACTTTGAAGACAAACGTTGAAGTTTGAATGCTCACAGCTCACAAGGTCAGGGCATCATATTGCGAACACACACACAAAAAAAACAGCCCAGCTACCTGCAGACTCTGCTGTGGCGTTTTCTGTTTGTAAGAAAGAAAATGTATAGTTGGAAGCACCTGAAGGTCGTTTATATGTTAATTGGAGGAAAAATAGGATTTTTTTAGAGTAGGACTGGGCGATAAATTGATTTAATCAAAGCTTTGTTTTTTAATTTTTGGAAAATAAAGTCTTGGAGCTTTAGACTGAGGCCGCCATTTTGCTTGACAAACAAGTTTTTTTGGCTTCTATTTATTCACAGTTTGAATTCAAGTAAACTGTGAGAAAATATTGTTTTTTATTCTAATAACAAAAATAAACATATTATTAGAAGAATAAAGTCATTAGACAACAAAGTCAAAATAAAGTGAGAATAAAATTGCAATTTTAAAATAAAAAGCATTTTGCAAAGTTTTATTTTTACAGATAACACTTAATATTTAGTAGATTTAATAAATCTTTTAACACATTTAACTTGTAAAATATTGTTTTGTTTTATTTTGTTTTTCGGTGACAGTAATAGTTTTAGTTTTTTCATACTTTCATACTGATCTTAAGGTACAGAATCCAAGTATTGTGAGTAAATATAAAAAGTTTGGGAAGTGAATAAACCATTTTCAAAAAATGTATTCAAATTTTTGCTAAACAACTAATTAACTCCCAACTTCTCTTTTGTTATTTTTCAGATTGGAGGATTATGAGTGTAATTTGCCTACAAATAACACAAAAATCACATTTGAAAGGCTAATAAATAAATTTATAAACACAAAACTTCAATATGTTTTAGAGACGGACAATATAGTTCAACTTAGTTATTAATTTTTCCCCCACTAACTACTGTTTTTAATTATTTCAGTTAATGAAAATGTCTGTTATTTTATTTATTTTAGTAAACACTAATAAACTTAGTAGCACTCTACCTGTCAGCCATCAGAGAAGACTTACGCAGGCGTCGGAGCGCCTGCGCTACATGTGTGGCGTTTTGGGGATGTTATCATCGATGGTTTTATGGATTCAACACATCAGAGATAAAACTTTTTATGAACTGAGATGCACATTGAAAAAAATAAACCAACTACTTCCTGGCGTCTTCTTTGTCATTTTCAGCAGTGGTAACACCCTGTATCAGGTGTGCTGTGAATAAAACGTTCCTGTTGCAGTTTTGCAAAATAAATCAACTTTGCTGCAGCTGAAAAACCACCTCATCGAGCACAAAAACGTATTTTGTGTGTCAAAATTACCGTATTTCCATTAGACAAATTTATTTTTGTAATTAAATTTTTGTGCAGTTTTATGGTTACTGGACTGAAACACACAGAATCACACATTTTGCTCCTGTGGAGAACAACAACAGAACAATAAAGAGACTGCAGACTTACCTGTGGCCCCTCTCTGCACCACCAGGCTGGCCTCTGCCCCCACTGCACACTCCTTCAGCAGCTCCACCACCTGCGTGTGGTTGAATCCGGCCACTGCCTGCTTGTTTATCTCCAGGATCAGGTCACCTTCGCACAGACCCGGGCAGCCCTGAGGCTCCAGGACTTGCTTGACGCGCTGACCCGTCAGACTGTCTGCGATGGTGAAGCCGAACCCGTCCACGCCCTTCACCATCGTCACCGTCAGCAGCTCCCCTTGGGTTGCCCCAGAAGACGCCATGGAGACGCTGTCGGGCGGCGTGGTGCTGGTGGTGGCCGGGAGCGAGCCGTCCAGGTGGGTGTCGCCCGGGTGAGCGGTGAGAAGCGGCGGCTGCTGGGAGTTGACGTGGTCCTGACCGGGGTCCGTGACGAAGCGGGCCGTACGCGTCAGGTAGTCCAGGTAGTTATCGTAGCTGGTTCTGCCGTTCACCATGATGGGCCGCTGCTCCATGATGCCCAGCGGGGAGATGATGGTGGTGGTGTTGTTGGTGTTGGAGGCGTCCTCTGGGTCATACGGTAAAGGGTAGCCGCGACACAACACGAGCGTCACGCTCTGACCGATGGGAACCGACTGGAAGAGTTTCACCACGTCAGCGTGGGTCGTTCCCAGAACGCAGACGTCGTTAATGTAGACGATGACGTCCCCTATGAAAAGCAGCAAGGCAGAGAAAATGATTAATTGTGTTGAATTGATTATTGAAATAATCATCAAGTAATTTAGTAATCAATTAATTGCTAGACTCAAATCCGTATGTGGCAAGAAACGATTAATTGTATTAATAGTGTTGAATCATCATTAAAATAATCATGAATTGATACAATAAACATATAATTGTTAATGAGATTATACAGACACAAAAACGGTCAGTTTAAATGAAAAATATGCAGAATTTTTATCAAATTAATCAAATAATCGACAGATTAATCGATAATCATTACTTTCTGCTCTCTTATAAACATATTCTCAAGCTGAACTTTCTTTCACAAATTATGTAGTTAGTTTAAATGACTAGTTTGGTTTTAATTTAGTCAAAAAGTCCAATTTTGTTGACTGCGATTGATTTGTTTAATTAAGAAAATGGGTAGAAACATTGAGGGGGGAGAATACTTATAATTTATATTAAGTGTTAAGGGATTTTAACATTTGACAAAAACACTTTTTTGAAGCATAAACATAAAAAGCAACACTGCCGATTATCACCGATCATCAGAAAAGCACAAGTTGCACAGAGGAGAAGCAAAACAGGGATATTTCTCCAACATAATGAAAATTATGGCATAAATGTAGGCAGGAAGGCAAAAATAAAATAAAAAAACATTAGAAAGGAGCTGCTTAAAAGATTGAAAAACGAGATAAGACAATCAAATAAGAGCTAATGTGGGCTGATTTACATATGAGAAAAGCAAAGGCACAAATTATATAAACTAATTAAATGGGGAGAGAAAAATCAATATAATTTGCTGTTTTAGTAAAGCTGTGACACTGGCCATCAGACCGATGTTTGATCCTAACTGCAAAACGAGTCAAAGCTCAATTATCTGTTAGCTGTTTACAGAGACAGATGTATCCATGCTCTCACGTTTTCAGCCATAAACACAGATAAACAAAACCCCCAATAATCTCTTATCTGCCTTTCCTGCGTAAAAGGGTAAAGATGACAGGTGGCCATAAGTGTTTGCCTTTTATGGCTTCCATAGCTTTTATTTACTCACTGCAGTGTAGATAAAACCTCGCAGACAATTAAATGTTCCCACACAAAAAAGGACACCACATGCAGCCACAATCCTGTCTCCAGCTCTTTGCTAAATATAGTGTTTTACGTTCCACAGTGGAGGCACTGGTCAACTGGGAACAATAAAACCAATCCTTTTAAAGGCCAGGCGCTCAACATTACCTGCTTATTTTCTAATTATAGGCAAACTGTGGGGATTTCTAGAAAATGTTGCAAAGCTTTCCAACCAGTCAGTTGCATGAGAAGATAATTTATCCAATATTTATGGATTAATTGTCAAAGTGAAGCAAGAAGGTTAAAGCCTCTGAGCGACAGAAGTGAATGTGATCTCTCACTGTAAACGGAGTCGCATGCAAACGATTTCTGGTTTCTCTGCTGGTACTGGCAGAAAGAGCACACACCTAGAGGCGGCGTGACGTGAGGGACTTTTTAATTAATCAGGGTAAACGCGGCCGACATTTGCCTTGAGCGTTTGTGTCACAATCAATAGTCGAGCGCGCTGGCAGAAAACAAATGATGGTGCGGTGACCTCGCGGAGCCTCGCTCTCGCCATGTGTCTCAGTTTGTGGCCAGACAGAAAATGCAGACAGACCGGAAGCATCAACACATGTAAGAAGTATGAGCTGGAATCCAGGCATCTGCACTGATGACCACTTTAAATTCACGACGGTACGACTATTTTAGTTATCGATTAATCGATTATTCTGACGATTAATCAAAAAAGGTTTGGCACGTTCTGAAAATTCTTCACTTATGTCTTTTTATACAATATTAGAAAGACATTTTAAGATGCAAATAAATAATTAAATTCAATTTTTAAATAAGAAAACAAAACATTTTATTGTCTAAAATTGAACAACATTCCTTTAGTGAAAGCAGCTACAAAATATTTTTTAACTCATCCCTTTCTGCTTGACTTACCTTCAGTAAGTGAAGGCTGATCTGTTGATTATTTTTTAGGATTGCCAAAAAATAAATGAATAGCAACTGGATTTGTTTTTTTTTTTTTTTTCTATAAAACCTGAACTGGGCAAAGCTAAAGTATGACACTTTGTTTTGAGTAGAACATTTTTAAATAAAGTTTTTTTTTGTCTCAGATGCTAAATTTATAAATGTTTTGACTTTATTACAGCTCTTAGTATGTTTTTCTTTCAGCAAATGGCTTTTTTTGAGTCTTGATACTTGAGTTAACAATTAATTGATGAGTAAAATTAATTGACAATTAATGCAATAAATGATTAATCACGATTAATCAGATTAATTGTTTCTGAACATATATGACATGACTCGCTAAAAATCAGGCTGTAGAATTAATTTACTTTTTTAAAAGTGCATTTCTTTATGGAAAAGGTTGAATTTAAGATGTTATATGCTAACATTTCTAAGGTGACACTTTCCAAGCTCTACAATTATGTGAAATGGATAAAATGTTGCCAAACACAGATCTACGAAAAATTTCAATGATGTCAGATTCTTGTAAAGCAGAAACCACTGCATCCTCGTTTTTGCACAGTGACTAAGGATGACTTTTCCAAGCTGAGTCATCTCACCGTTTCTTCCTTTCATAATTCTACATGACATATTAATTTCCCTCTAATGGTGTGTTCAGAAGTGTGTGAACATAAGAGGGCTGAGAGTCCCTGCTGAGAGGATTACGGCATCTCAAAACTCCCAGCATGATTTCGATGGAGACTGCATTTCCAACTGTCCAAGAGATGTCCTCAGGTTTTAGCAATTAATGTCCTTTTGCTTCGTTATTGCAATATATGTCCAAATAATGCTATTTATCTGTCAGAGAGTCTGAGTGAGACAGATATTTAGCTTTATCTTTCTGTAAATCATGAGAACAGATAAGACAAAAATAAAAGAGGACAAAATTTAAGCGGATGATTCCGTGAACTAATTGGAAGAGATTTCATTTTGATGGCGAAATTAAAGTTTTTCTACTTCCATTTTGCATCTGCTACTTCAAAAAACAGCCCAAATGCTCAAAAAAACCCACACAGCCATTTTTAAAAAACTTAAATTATTTATTGCTGAACAATGGCTGCTAAAGACAACGGATTGCTCTGTACTTAATCTATTTCTGCACAAAATAAATGTAGCTGCCAGGAGTCGTTTTGTAGTGACCATGCGTCAGTTTGTGCTGCTTTAATAATTAAAGATTTAAATTAATTTTCTAGAATCTATGTCATTTCAATTACTAGTATCAGCATGAAGTCATTTAGAGCTACTTTGGTTTGATCTGAACCAGAATAAATGAAAATTGAGTGAAACAGAAAGTCTTCAGAAAATAGTATGTAACTAAATTACATACTATGAAATAAATTGAAATGGTTCAAGAACATAGAAGCAATGAATTAGTAACAAGGGCATGTCATGTTACATCTGTTAGCTAGCTAGTTTAAGCTCCTTCACTTTCTAAAGGCTCGTTAAAAGCAGCTTAAATAATTGTCAAGTTCTGTACTGTCAAGAGTAAAACTTTCAAATAGGAATAAAATCGATTATTTCCAGTTGCAGAAAGGCTGTAAAGTGCATGTTTTTGTTTGTTTTTCAGGAAGAATGTGCAACAAAACACACTGAACTTAAAAAATAAAAGGTTTTATCGTTTTAAAACAGACACTGTGGTGACTGGATAAGGATGTAGCTCAGCAGAAAAAAACCCCTTTAGTGCTGAATAAGAGACAGTAATTAGCCTCCACAGTTTGTAGCAACTTGTTAGACCCGCTAATCTATATGAACCTTGCTCCTAAGGGGCGTAAATGGAAAACTATGTTGAACAAATGCAAATATTTGCATAAATAAAACTATAAACATAAGAAAATACCTATTTAATACTATAGTATTAAATCTAAGCGTTAAGCCACTAAGGTCCATAAAACAAAAGATCTGAGTTTTAAAAAGTATGTATCCCTGACAAGCTGTGCTCTATAATGAAATTGCATGACAAAGATGCCCAAGAGGGGTCGAATCCAAACGAAGGCAAGAACCTTCAACCCAAAATTGCAAATTTCACACCCCTCCCAGGCCTGGGTTTCTCTGAGTTTCTGTGATTGTGCCTGCTCTGTAACTGTAGAAGTAGGACACTCAGTCTGAAGAGGGGGATGGAGCAAGGCTGGTGAGGCACAGATGAAGATGAGCTGAAGGGATCGAAGAGGAGTAACTCTTAGCTATTTTGGGGAGAATAATACATAAAACAAGAGAAGGGAATTCGAAAATAGAGTAGGAGTACAGAAACAGATTGAAAAGACGAGCTTTATTAGTCAACTAGGGATGTATTTTGTACCGGTGAGCCTATAAGTCAGTAAAAACAGGGCTAGTTGGGGCATTTATGTTAAAGCAATGACATGAACTTTTCAAAATCTGCAAGAGGACAAAGTTTTAAAGAGGACACAACTTTCGATCAGTGTTTTTAGAGTCAATGTGATGAATAATGTCCAAAATTAGATTTGCTCCACAATATACATCACAGTACAACCTGACTACTATTCATCCTTTGACCTTTATTGCAGATGGATCATCTCAGTGTACAGCAGTTTGTTCCCCTATGTGGCCATGACCAAGAGCTGTAGGACTCAGTCTGTTCCATGATTAATGGAAGAACAAAAATGCACAGTTGGTTCCCAGGCATGTGCATATATCCACATATAAAGCTTTTGCCAGTGCAAATTTTAAGATGAACTAGCACTAGACTTAAACAGTACTCTCAAAAACTGAGAAAACATTTTAAATCCATATTAGGGTTCCAAATAATGATCAATTAATCTATTATTCTGACGATTAATCATTTAATTTATTATTCTAACAATTAATTTGATTTAAAAATCTGGCATGTAATGGAAATTTCTCACTTAATCATTTTAATACAATATTACAAACAGACTGAAAGATGCAAATAAACCATTCAATTAATTTTTAGAAGTAAAAACTTTACATTTTTGTGCCAAACAGGCAATAACAAGATTCAGTTTGTGAAATTTGACATCAGCATGTGAAAAATCAAGTTTTTCTGCTTGACTTGGCATCAATAAATTGCAGCTCTAATTTGTTTATTATTTTTTTGATTAATAACTTGGCAGCAAAAGGTGTTTTTTTTAGCATAATTTAAACCAGCGGAAGCTAAAACTGTGGCACATGAAGAGTTTGGGTAGAACATATATATAATTATATATATATATTTTTTTTTAATCTCAAATGCTAATTGTATATATATCTTTTGAAAAATTTTGGCTTTATTACTGTTGTAAGTATGTTTTTTCAGGAAATTACCTTTTTTAGAGTCTGTATACTCCAGTTAACCATTAATTAATTGCTAAATTAGTTAGCGATGACAATCGATTAATCACGATTAGTCGCTTTAGATTTAACTGATTCAGATAAATAAAAGTTTTTTTATTTTGCTATTTGTTTTTTTTATTTATCTGGGGCTCAGTTTAGCTCTGTTTCAGGCAGCGTGTCAGCCGTTCCCGAGGCTTACCTGTGGCCATTTTGCCATCGGCTGCGGCGGGTCCATCAGGAATAACGCTTTTGACCTGGAGGAACTCATCAGGCTCATCCCCGCCGATGATGGTGAAGCCGAACCCCATGTTGCTCTTTTGGAGTGCCATGGACAGGAAGCTGCCTTTTAGCTGAGTCGGGTCTCGGGTGAACAGGGGCTTCTCTAAAAGTGAAAACAAACAAAAGCGATAACCGGTTTGAATTTTTTCCCAGTCACTGAAAGAACCTCAAAGCTGGAGCAGGGTGAGGCTCAGAGGGCAGAGGCATGATGGGGAAAGCTTGTCCACTAGCAAGGGAAGTTGGTAGGGTAGCATAACTAGACACAGGTTGGGCTGATAGATGCAGGTGAGGTTTAGCAATTCTTACTCCAGATGCAAAAATCCACCCCAACATGACCGTCACCGGATCGCTCTCCTCAAAAGCTGAAACGGCCTCTTGACCAAAATTTTAAGCGCATTTGAAATATTCCAAAAATGTATATTTTGCAGTTTTGGATTTAAAATAATTTTCTTAGTAGAGCCACCCCTCTACCCTCACACCCCAAGTCAACGTTTACACTCACACGTGAAAATGGCTGCCAACAGATGCACAATTATACAACCGTACGTCTTTGGAAAGCAGAAGTGGAGCCTCCTGCACAGCCAACAAGAATGCAGCGAGCGGTCTCTGGAAAAACCTCTGGTCTTTTCCAGCAGCCATTGTACAACAGTAAAACCAGCTGACCAAACGCATTGACACTTTGTCTGTGTTGCTAAGTAACCAGCGGGGCTTCGATGGGGTTGCTAGGTAACTGCAATGCCTGCTGATTTGTGACGTTACATTCTGGAGGTTATCCAAACAGCTCATTATCTACACAGCAAAAAGTATCAGCTTACTGACAAAAATCCCCTGGGTGGTGTTTTTTTTGTTAAGCATTTGGGGTTGCTTATAGAAGTAGTAGAAACCCAAAAAGAAAATACAAAACTATGTTACATTCTGTAGGCTTTTAAAATGGCTCATTTTCCAGACACCAAAAATCTTCAACTTTCTGCAGAAACTTTCTGGGTGTTTTTTTAAGCACTTGGGTTGTTTCTATATGCTGTATAAACCTAAAATGAAGTATAAAAACCCAAATTTCAGATTAAAGGTCCTCTTAAAGGTTGTTTACAAAAAAATGCTTCCTCAGATTTTTTTTTTTGTCTCTCATTTCTTCTTTTTGCATTGCGAAGCTCTACTTAGAACCCTCTTAACATCCAGCGGTGCAAAATGTGAATTCTTGCCATTTTTCAACCGGTCTTCAAACTTTGATGGGAGTGGACGAGGGGGCAGAGGGCGTGCAGAGTGCAGCAGCGGTGCAGCTCACGGGTCCAGCAGAAAACATGCTCTCAGCAGGGGATCAGTTCCACAGGAAGATGCTTGAGGAATTTTAAGGAAAAGTGGGAGAATTTTTTTAGAGGAGCGCCTTGAGTAGTAATGAGCGGATCTCAGCCAACAGGATTAGTCACACTTAAGCAAGTCCTACGTCTTTCCACCTCAGAAACTAAATCTGGCTAACAGGAGAGTTTACATCCTTTGTTTGTCGTCACTGGTCCAGATTTAGTGAGCGATTACCCTCACTGTGTTTGCTTCTGCACAGAGATAAAACAAGTCAAAGTGCACAGTCATTGCACAAATCCCCAAAACGGCCTCAAGGGAGAAGCTTTGCATGCGTACAGTAAGTCACGAGCGCAGGCAGCCATAAGAATGACAGTCAGACGCTTTTTTCTTCCTTCTTGGCCTACTTACTGACGATGTGCCACAGGGAATAGGGGCTGCACACGGGCTGCTCGAGCAGAACGGTGCAGGCGGAGGCGTAAAGGGGCTGCGGATGCCGCTGCCTATGAGGGCACGCGTTCATCCGCCGAGTCAGAACGCTCCGGAGCGGAGACACTTCGGCGGAAGAGGAGGTGGCGTATGAGGGAACCCGGCGACCGGTGGTCGGGGAGCGGGACAGGTCGCCCAGGCTGTGGCAGCGCTCGGGCGCCGGGCCGACCTGCGCGCGAGGGCGTCTGGGCAGGGTGGCGCTGGGGCTGGCATCCTCCGCTGGCGTTAAAGTGTGAGAAAAGAGGAAGAGGAAGTAAAGAGGAGAGAGAGCCTCACTGGACTGGACACAGGTAGCTCGGAGTGGTGCGCTATGACAGAAACAAACCTACACTTCCAGAGTCCAGCACCGCCTACCGCTGGGAAATAACAGATGGGGAGAATCGAGTCACAGTTAAACCGACAAGTTCAGTTAGATACAGTCTGAACGATTCACTTCAAGCGGGGAGAGTTGACCTGATCCAACCACTAAAAGCTGTGGAAAACAAGCAAATCTTGAGTTTCCAATTACAGATATTTCAAAGTTTATTCTAGAAAATTCTTTAGGTCTTTTTAGCAAATTTTAGACATTTCAACCTGAGATTAATTTCAAAATTTCAGAATTTTTGACGAAAATACACAGCTCCTTTCATTTTTTTAATCTACAATGGCGTTAATATGCCGTCGTGCAGCTCCTTCAATTTGAACAGCAGACACAGCGTTCAAACTGCAATTTGATCAGAAAATAAATACTTATGCATCGTTTTGTGGGGCTTCTAATGTCTGATAGAATGAGAAACAAACAGCTAACTGGTTAAAACTTGGACACAGTTGTGTGTTTAAAGATTACAGAGAAAATAAAGGTGCATAAATAATTAAAAATGGAAATGGCAAATGTCTAAATGCTTTTTAAAAGCTTTGACCTTTAACTGTACTGAGAATCTGTGAGCTCAAAAGAGGAAAATGGGAGCAATTCATTTAACCTCCACTAATTCTGATAACACTAATTCACCCAGAATTAGTGAGAGTAATTGTATGTTTATGTATTTACTTGAGTCTGTGTGGAGTAGAGAAAATAGATAACCTATATGTTTTTAAATCGTAGCTATTTATTGTTGCATAACCACTCTGTAAAAAGAGGAAACTAAATCATTATAAACCCAAATGCCAATGATCAGAGTGCATAAAATGGCACTGTAATGCTAAAAGGAAAGCTCAAAAGTCAATAACAATCTAACAAATGAAGTAGAGACCTTTAGAAATGCAAGAACAATAAAATTCAATTTTTCAAAGGTAAGATTTTGTAATAAAAATCAAATGATTGCAGGTCCTGGTAACAGTTGGAACCAGACTTCAACAGAATTTAACTGGTTTTAAGACAGACATGCTTCATCAAGTAAACATTTTCAGGTTTACTTTCTGCTTGCTAAATGCCAGAATAATAAAATAAATTTTTTCATCACTGTCTTTAAAACAGTTTAAAACAGACATATCATATTTTTCCTCAGCATTTGGCGGAACTGCCTTTTTGAGTTGAGTTTTGGGTAGAACTTATTCACAAACAAAGGATTTTATTTACCGTAACTTAAAAATTTATTTTTAGCCTAATTACAGCTCTTGGTATGTTTGTCTTCAGCAATGTTTCTTTTAGAGTGTAAACTCGAGGTAATAATTATTTTAAAATCGATTAATCACGACTAATCGTTTCAGTCCTAGTTGAGTTGCATGTTTTGCACAAAAACATGTTCAACTCCGGGACACAGAACATTTTGTTACTACATGAGCAAAATATTTGCTGAACATTAGCATGATGTTTATACTTGCAAATAATTATTTGAGCAGAGGAATGTTTGCGGCTCCTTCAGGCATTTGGAAGTTTTCCGATGACGCCACACAAGAAAATGGTGAAATTGAGGTCTTCGCTTAAGTAAATCAGGTAGAACACTGGCTTTAATTGCATAAATATTTTACATTTAAGAAACAATGTCATCTTCATAGTCTTACCTCTGTAGATAGCAGGAAGAGGCAGTGAGGACAGACCCTGACTTTGCATCTGCTGCTGCTGCTGGAGTCTTCTCTTCGCCTCCAGAACCGGGTTCTCAAACTGGGTTCTTCTATTTATATGACTAGAACAATAAAAGAAAGGAAAGGACATAATTCATATTTCACTGCGTCTCTCGGGGGGTAAATCAGGGTTTCACCAAATCAAAATTAAGGCTTTTGAGAACTTATTGATTATGAACAAAATGTAAGACTTTTACCGCACCAAATGTATAATATAAATTTTATATTCATATGTAGCAAGGTAACATGAACTTTGTCCAATTTGGTTTATTTACTCTCCAAAGTCATTTTGTTTCATCAAAGTATTATTTTCTCCTAACATTTATTGGGACGCAGTATTAAATATACTTTTCATATATTTCATAGGGACACATGTAATTGTTTTGTATATATTTTTAACTATTATAACTACTGTTTTTACAACTATTATCTGTTGTTATGTTAAAACATTTTACGTTAAAACGTTCTAACATACACTTCTAAAAATATATATTAATTGTTGTTTATGTTACAAATGAGATTAGTTATGTAGATTAATGATTAAATTCATGTTAAATACCACTATGCGATCACAGGCCAAAAAAAAAAAAAAAAAAAAGACTTTTTAAGGCCTTATTTTTGAATCCATAAATTTAAGACTTAAAGTTTTTATTTTATACGCATGAATATAATATTTTTTAAAATCAAAATCAAATCAAATTTTATTTGTATAGCACATTTCAGCAAGGCATTTCAAAGTGCTTTACATCATAAACACAAAAACACAAAGTCATGCAACATATAAAAGACAATACATTGTTACATATTACATTTCAAATAAAACTCAAAACAGGTGTGTTTTTAGTTGCGATTTAAAGGAAGTCAGGGTTTCTGCTGTTTTACAGTTGTCTGGAAGTTTGTTCCAAATTTTTGGTGCATAGATGCTGAAAGCTGCTTCTCCTCTCTTGGTTCTGGGGATGCAGAGCAGTCCAGAACCAGAAGAATCTGGAAGGTTGATACAACAACAGCAGATCTTTGATGTATTATGGTGCTAAACCGTTCAGTGATTTATAAACTAACAACAGTATTTTAAAGTCTATTCTTTGAGCTACAGGGAGCACAGACACACTGTGATAAACCATAAGCTGTTTATTGCTATAATGATTAGCTAAATGGCTGGTAGTCATTTTGTAAGAGTTGTAGAATAGTTTTGCAGATTTAAAAACCAAACAATTGATTCTTTTATCAGTAAACAATTCATCAAATTACTTGATAATACTCAAGAAAACCTGCACATCTCCTTTAAATTTCATTTAAATCGTTGACTACAAGTGGTGTAATTTGCCAGCATGAGGTAATTAGTCATCATTAAATATTTCCCTGACTTTATGAGACTTCATTGTGTGCCAACACACACACAGGCACAATTCATCTCTCTATTTAACTATTAATGAACGCCCCATTATCAAAGTACTAATTATGTAACAGTTTACAATGCTTTGAGTTAAAGAAGCGTGCAGTGTCTTTTAGATTACGACAAAACAAAACAATAATGACACCTGTACAGGGAGATACAGCGAAATAAAAACCCAGGTTTTATTCTTGTGATTTTCCAAAAATATCAAAGCTGCAAAGAATGGAGCCCCATAACAGCGAGGAGAGACCACTGCAGCAGTTAGTCTGAGACACACAAGTGCAAATTCTTGCTACTGAGTAAATCTATTAATAAAATAAGCACCAAGACCGTAACACACAGGCTAATAGAAAAACCAAGGCACAGACTGGCTAATAAACTTCCTGCAAAGCCTGCAGGAGCATAAAATGGAGAATTTCCTACTGTGAACTACTCATAATAAACATGATTAATACTGCACCAACAAGCTACGCAGAAAAATCAAAGGCAATATTAAAGATCCACTAAACTTACTCGACGTAGTAGCTGCCGTAAATGGGGTCATCGATTTTCTCCCAGCCGTAAGGAAGCTCTGGGGAGAAAAGACACAACACAGAGAAAACAATAATGAAGGTTTTTGTTCATTCTATTATCGCATATGAGCATATTGACTGTACTTAGAGAAATAATGCATCGTTTTTATAAAGAGACATCGGATTTGAAGCTGGACTGGTTGATACATTTTAACAAATTCTAAATATACAAAATCCTTTTAAAAAATATCTGATAAAAATACAAATTTAATGCTTTTTAAGACCATTATGAATGAAATTTAAGACCTTGTGAGAAATGTACAAAATAAAATGTCATTTGACAGTGCAAAACTTTTCTGCACAGATGAACATCATGCAGAACAGCAAGCTAGCAAGAATATGTTAGCAGCTAATTAGCGGTACCCTCAGCCACCAGCTAGCAAGGGTATAATTTAAATGTCTTCATTTCTTTTGTACATTTAAGGATTTAAAAAAAATGTAAGGATCTGCTGACACCCTGTCCTCCACCATAGATAAGGCTGATCCGTTTCTAATAAGTCATATTTTAAAATAGTTTCTTAAAAATACAAAATGTACACCAATTATTCATGGATTGGCACTGTGAAGATCAATAATAATAAAAATAGAGCCTCAACATGTTGCATTCATTGATTTAAAGAGGCCAGTGGCTCTTTTATGCTGTTCATCAAATGCATCTCTAAAGAGAAAACGCTCCTAATATTGATGGTGGCTGAATTTAAACCCATAAGTTATTTATGTCCTGCATCTCCTCTGGGTTGCAAATCTTGTGTTTTGATGAGGGAACTTTGAAAAGAGTCACAAGAGTTTCTTTTTGGACAGGCAGAAAACCTGAGGGTGTTAAATCCCCAAGGCATAAACTGGAGAATATTTACAACTTCTTCGGAAAAGTTAAACTCCAGGACAGAAAAACGGGTCGCAGCTATGAACTGTACATGAAAGCCGTTAGATTTCCTCTTCGCTTTGACAATTGCTGCTTTTAAGAGAGAAGATGATTAACATATGGACAAAAATCACCATCATCATGACATTTTTTTCAAACACTGGACTTTGAAAGCTACAAACCGGAACCCAATGTGCCCATCTATGGGAAAGCCATCTGTTATCCGTAGCATCTTTTTCCTGCATGTCTTCGTTATTTATACTTCACGCCTAGAATCTGATGACAGGAGACGTCTAAGACAAGTGACAACTCAAATGAATTTAGTTTCCATGACAGCAGCAGGCTCAGTGTAAATGCAGCCAAAGACAGGCGGATCACCACCGTTCCACAACGCTTCCTCCAAGCCTCAGCAATCAGAACGTGGAGAAAATGAGTTGCGAGTTGGAAACCCACATATTCAAAGGTGACCTGTAGGTCAAAACATGTTCATTACATTTTTTGCACAAATAATCCTTGAAGAGTTTTCAGTGTGCTTAGCTCAACCAACGTTGAACCTCTTGTCAGTTTACATCCAAATAAGCTGTTGAATAGCCAATGTTTTCACTCGCATGTGAATTTGAGTTACAACATTCAATTTGTCTTTGTGATCAATAAAGTTCTTTTTAATTTCAACTTAAAGAACCAGCTAGTCAAAAAACTGTCGGAGCTCAGCTTGGGTTGCTTGGTAACGGGCGGAATTCCGCTGGGGTTGCTAGGTAACGGGCGGAATTCCGCTGGGGTTGCTAGGTAACGGGCGGAATTCCGCTGGGGTTGCTAGGTAACGAGCTGGCAGAGCCTGCTGATTTGTCGTTTTATATTTCGGAAGTTTTTCAAACGGATCATTTTTACAAACACCAAAATACACCATCTTATTGACAATAATGGCTGTTTTTAGTATAATAGGTTCCTTTTAAGGTTTAATTTGTGATTCATCATGTAATCAGAAGACAAAAATTCAGGAGTTTTCGAAGTTTGGGAGACAACAAACTTGCTTTAAATGTCAAAAGTCAAAGGAAGAATTGAATAATAATAAAAAAAGGACATCATACAACTACATACAGACCCAATTATACAAATATTAACAATCCCTTCAAGATTGTTTTTTCAAAAACACCAAATAAACAAACGGGTCAATGGCAGTTTAGCTGAATTTTTAATGACCCTTAAAACATTAACCAAAAACAATTAGTGGTCGTATTTCAGGATCTTAAATTTTTTTATACACACAGTGAGAAAGATACAGTAACCAAGCACAACTCAGGTGATGTAAAAATAACACCAGTAAGTAGTGAATTAAAAACATCTGACCAAATCCGATAAGTAAGTTTGATCAAGATAATGAGAAAAAAAAATAAAATAAAATCAGAAAAACATCTTTTAACCACAAAGATTTTTCACTATTTTATTCACTAAATACTTATCTCCAGTTATTAGACATTAATAATTGTTTTTACACGCCCTGACGTACATGTGTGCATGTATACAGATTATGGAAGTCCTTCCATGCTATATCATTCACATGTGGGACACACGCGAGTGCAGCAGATCAAAGGGACGTCATGCAGCTCAGCGGCTTTCTAATGAAACGCTTATCCATCAAAATGTCCACAGGAAACAGCAGGGGGCCACAAACGACTCCAACTTCAGCAGCAGAGAGACACGACACGGCCTTTAAAGAGTCTGCGGTTTGTTACGACTTGATTTCTAATCTCACTTCCTTGATGTGTTTGTTTTAATAAGCTGCTAAATAATTGGGTACAATTTCGCAATGCTAAAAGGAAGAAGACAGAAAAGTGTTGGTAAATGCTTAAAGATGTTGATTAAAGTTCACAAGATTTGCAAAATTGTAGGAATTGGGTTAACAAGTAAAAAAATAATAAAAATAAACCTATGAATAGAATCAATAAATGAAGGAAAGTGTAAAAGCATCTGCAAAGGTTTTTGATCAAATATGGCTTGAATAAATTAATATTTACCAAGTTACCAAGTTAAAGATGGATTTCTGGAGCATAAATGTATTATTTCTTTAGTCAAACAAGTTAAAATATATGAAATATGAATGTATTTGAACGCATTAAGGAGTAACATATAAAAAAGAACAAATTAATCGCAGAAATTTTTCTGCAAAAATCACAAAATCTTAAGTATTTTTGGTCTATTTTCTAGTGCACACTTGAAATAAGTAACTTTTCAGCTTTTTAAGTGAATAAATCCTAAATATTAATGAAAAAGGATTATATTTTTGTCTGAAATTATGTTTAAAACCAAAATTTGAAGTAATTTTTAAGATGGTCCCTGTGGAACATTTCTTGTCTGGTTAAAATGTTCAACCTGCAGATATCTTCCTGCCACTAGGAGGCGTTGTACTGTCCCCTCCTCCTCTATCTTTCCTTCATATTTCCCCGTAATAAATGGACTCCGAGAGAGACCGTCTTTGAAGTTGAGCTGCACGCTCAAAGGTTTTTATTCTCCTTTTCCTAATTTGGACTGGAGTGTGACAAACCACACAGAGTCTGCAGGGTCTTTCTTCATTTCTTCCAGCTTTGAAAAGCAAAGACGCTGAACTGAAACATTTTCGCCGCCTGCAGACCTTTCCTTAGTCACATCTCGCTGGTTGGTGCACCTTTGAATTCAATTCATGCAGGAGAAGAACTTTACTCTGGTCGGATCAGAGGGAAATTATTCTTGCCAACAAAGGCAAAAATCTAGTCAGCTGAGCTCTGAAAACTGCAAAAAGACAAAATTTACCAAGTATTTTTGTCTATTTTCTAGTAGAAATATCTTAGTAGATGTAAAATAAGACAAAACTAACTTACAAGTAACTTCAGCAAGATAAAGGAGCTTGTTTTAAGTCAATAATTCCTCAATATAAATGTAAAACTACAAGTTCTGCTGGCAGATTATTTCACTCATACGTGAAAAATGTGAAAAAAATAAAAAAGATCCAAAACTCGAAAACTATTTTTACAATTGCGTATTAGGGTCAATGTAGACAGAATAAAAGGAATAATTTCCCACTCAAAACTCAGAAATTTTGGGTTGAATCTCAGAAATTTTCTGGCAAACTATTTTCTAGAAAACATAGCATATCAAAATTTGAAATTCAGAAATTTTCAAATTTTTTGCGGAAAATTTTTAATCTGAAATTAAAAATAACTTTTTTCTATCCAGTTTTCTTATCTTTGGCAGAAATTTATTACTTTAATTTTGCATGTATCAAAAAAATGTTCAGTTTTTTTTGGGCTCGATTGAAAAAAATTATTTAAATGAATAAGAACAGAATTTGGGTCACTTTCTCTCAGAACGTTTGCTATATTAAATCAAGTTTAATAAGGAATAAAAGTCGATTTCAGTAAAACCTTCTGGATAAACTTCTTTTTACCTTCTGTTAAATCGCAGCTATAAGAACACAAATATGTTAAATTTTGCTGTGTAAGAAAATTAGGTTGGTAACAATTTATCTGCATCTATGGACCAAATCTGTATCATTTCTTCAATTATACTATGGGGCCGCACAAAATCAGAAAAAAGGGCCACAATAGGGCCACGCACCGCACTTTGACGCCCATATTGTGAAAGAAATCTAGCAGTGGAACTAGTATTTTTTTATTAAAAAAGATAAATGTAGCAATGGGAATTTAATTTTAAGGCATTTTTATTTACACTTTTCATTTTTATATTTTCATTCCTGCTATTTCTTTTCTGCAGGTCCACTTATTTAAATGTTTTCATTAGAGTTTTATTTTCCAATAACAGAAGCCAGGATGGTGATAGTTGACTTAGATTGATGTAATTTTGTTTTTATGTCTTTGACTCCTTTGTTTGCATAAATTCCCACTAAATTTCGTCTTTCCTGTGGATTTTTAACATCTTCCTCATTTTTCCAGCTAATTGGTTTTAATATAAAGAGCCTGAAATAATTCAGCTGAACAAAAAACACCATAGAGCTAAAAATAATAACTGTGACGCATTTTATACAAGAAAATTAGTCTGATGATAATGAAAACTGCAGCTGTGCACATCTCACTGGATATATTAAGGGTATTATTTGCAGATACTACAGAAAGAAATAAATTTTGCCTAATTTGGGAATTAATC